ACCATAACCACACAGTTTTCCAGAAATGTTTTCTTGGCTTACGCATACTCCAACGCTGGTACAGTATATTATGAATGTCATTTTACTAGTAGCTAGTTAGCCAGCTAGGACACACATATCATACAAATAAGACCATGTTGTAAGCCAATATCAAGAGAGCCTTATCAACATATTGAAGTATCAATTGGGATTAGGTGAAACTATTATTAATGCATTGCTGTCCACTGTTGACTGAAACTCCAACCCAGTCTAGTATCCAGAAACAGTTTTGTAGGTTTCTTTATGACTGTGTTAAAGCACAGTGCTTATACAACACTCTCGATTAAGCATTTTTTCCCCTATCTGCTTCACATCCATCTACCCTATCATCTATATATTTTTACGAGGAACACTGGTATAACCAAAAACATTTGTTGTTTCTCTAACGCAAGCAGAGACTTGGCTTCGCTGATTTCCTCTGCGGTTGAACGCCTGCTGTGTGATGCTTATTATCCTTATCACTTCCCTTTAGAATGAGACATATGTTATGTCTTGGCTTGGAGCCAAGATTATGCTATCCATCCAAATTGGCACAGAACCTTCAATGCTCTGGAGAGTTAAGATATTACGTGACCTTGCATACAATTAAGCTGCCCTGGATTTAAAAGGTCAGGAAAGACTAAGGAGACATGAACCAACGTGCAAAGTAAGATTTTGTTATTCAGCAATACCATAACATCTATTTTCCCAGTGAAGAGATTATTTCTGCTCTGCGAGTGAACGCACAGTGGACGCGTAATAGCTTAACTTCATGCTTATTCATCATGTGTATGTGATTGTATGATCATATGCATAATATGATGAAAAACAATTTAAATGAGGCAAGAAATGGCTCATAAATAATGCATAATGGAAAGCTGTTTGATACCAACAATTGCAGCCTCACGTTAGGTATAATCTCTTTGCTTCGAGCTATAGTTTCCTCATTCAGGCTCCATACAGGATGCTTTCCCAGGTATGGATCTCCACTCTCTGCAATACGCCAATCAAAGCATCACTTAAATCAGTTGGTAAGTGATTGTTTCCTTAGGAAGAAGGAGAAGAATATGCATCATCTCATGGACGGCCACAAATGTGATATCCTTCTTATGACCTCAACAACAAGTTAATGACATGTTTCTATCCAAAACCTTGGTAAAACAACAGATAAGGTGAAGTGTTTCTTTTGACAATGTTTGGCAACTAAACAATTCAAAAACAGTGATGAACAGTCAAATATTTTAGCTTTTTACATTTTAGCAAGCAATTTCTTATTGACTCATCAAACAGATAGAGCACCATCAGCTTTTATCTGCAGTTGTATTTCTGACCACCTGATTAATGTCCCATAAACCTATGCAATCTTTTCATTTACTGTCCGCTAACTCTAATACTTGCCATTTAGCTACTAAATGCTTTAATGTATTCACAAGTTATGCGCATAGTTATAGCCAAATCTATCGACTGCAAACGCAGGACAAGATGCTGGCTGTACCGCAGGGGTGTCAAACTCAATTTCATCGCGGGCCACATCAGCATTATTGCTGCTCTCAAAGGGCCGGTTGTAACTGTAAGACTATATAAAAATACATATATAAATATATATATAAAATAATGTATTATATTACTGCATTGGATTATTATCAGATAGGGTAACTTCATAATTAACTAAGTCTGAAAGCAGAAGTCTAGGGCAAATAATTATAAGTCTCTTCAGTGAGAATGTCACAAAATGATTTAAAAAAAATAAATAAATAACATTTTGAAACAAATGTTACATTCTGAGAAAAGGGCACATTCTGAGACAAAAGGCATATTTAGATGAAATAAAGTTAAATTCTGAGAAAAAAGTCAAATTTGAGATGCATTGTGGGACATGTAGTTTATTGGCAACGTACTTCTGTAAATCATCATGTAACCGTATAATTAACATATCATATTCTTTGCAAGCTCTTGTGGTGCCACAGAAAATGAAGTCAACGGCCGGATTTGGCCCCCGGGCCTTGAGTTTGACACCCCTGCTGTACCGTGTTTCTTGGGATAGTCATATAGGTTACACGTTGAAACTAAACTAAGCTGGCACAGCAATGACTAAAGCCACAGCCACATTGCAATGGCAATAGCCACAGAAAAAGCCGTAGCCTACCGTTCTACCCATGACCTTTACTTTAATATCAAAGAGTTACAACTACACTACTCTTTCACTGAGTTTAACACAAATAACACTGATTATTGCAGGTTTAAGATGAGAGCTGGAATAAGGATTGAACAACTATAATCTAAGTTAAGGTTAAGGTATAAGATCCAGGCTATAGTTACATTAAATATGTTTTAACTGTAGCTAGGTGAGGAGCCATGCTCTATAATAAAAGGGCACACTACCTCCTGCATTGCCATTAAACATTGACACTGGACGTAAATTCTGAGATGCAGAATCGAACACAGTTCCAAGGAATAATGGGCTTCTTTTATAGCAATGATGATGAAAGGTGGTTGTAAAAACCTGTAATAATAATGTTCTTCTTTGTTGATTTCCTATTAGTCCAGTACTAAAATGTGAAAAATATAGTCGGGGAATGTGTTTCAAATAGTTTGCATTCAGCCAACAGAATACAAAAACACTCAGAGTGCCTTTCCGCCCACATACAGTGGGGCAAAAAAGTATTTAGTCAGCCACCAATTGTGCAAGTTCTCCCACTTAAAAAGATGAGAGAGGCCTGTAATTTTCATCCTAAGTACACTTCAACTATGAGAGACAGAATGGGGGGAAAGAATCCAGGAAATCACATTGTAGGATTTTTAATGAATTAATTGGTAANGCTTCAAAATGTTGGGTCGCGATGTATTGACCAAGTAAAAAGTGGTTCCAGAGGCCTGACCAGTTGAGAATCACTGCCCTAGAGTATGTGATTTAGAATAGAATAGAATATAATTGTTTAATGTCATTATACATGTACAATGAGATAAATAAATGCTTCTCCCTTTCAAGGGTGCCATCAAAACAAAAAAAACATCACAAGACAACAAATACATGCAGCATACATACTTAGGAATAAGGAATAATGTGCAGTAATTATTTCCAGTAGTATAAACATAAAATCTATAATGTAATAAATAATAATAGTAGGTATGTATTTATAATAATAATAATAGTGATATATATGTATATATGTACAGAGTCACATTTATTTCACATGCAGGATGATTAAGAGGTATGACTTTCAGGTGTTAAGAGCAATGATGGCTCTTGGGAAAAAAAGTGTAAGTGAATAATTTGGTATAACTACCTCATACACAACATCTCTTCAAAATTGCAAATAGAAAGGTAGATTTACTTTAATCAACCATTGTAATAGGAACACATCCATGTGGATTCTTTGTAGTGCTAATAGTGAGAACAAACCACACCTGAATGTAGATACGAGGGTGGAAGTTCACATCTGCAGGGCACATCACCTTTACTGTACGTCAAAGATGACTCTGACTCTCTCACCTCCCCTTGATATTACGTAAGACAGACTCTTTAAACACAGGAGGTGTTAAAGTTGATTCTATGTGACAAGCTCTTTTTCGGGAACCAAAATGCCCTTAACCTGGATTTTACCTGTGTTGCATGTGTAGAGGGTGTCACACAAAGCTAGTGGTTACTATAAAAGAAGCAATTTGAACACAATTTCTGGATTGCTTATAGTCAAATGATTGCATCCGTTTGAAAGGGACGTAATTGTATTGCTCAGGGAAAGGTCATGTTCATACGAGAAACATGCAATTTTCAATCAACGTAGAAATAATCAGGAGCTATAACGGCCCGTCCACACAGCAGCTTTAAAAAAATCTTCCAACACTTCCAACGCTTCTCTGCCCATTGACTTTGAATGGGGTGACGTCACTTTGCCTCGCTTTTCGCCGAACTGCATTGTGGGGAAGCAAGTGAAGATTTACAGGATTTACAGGATTTTCAGGATTCAAAAGTTGAGCAATGTTCAACTTTTTAAGCTGAGCTGGAAGCGTCAGCCAATCAAATCCCGTTTATGCAAATCTGACAGTACAAGCGCTAGCCATAGTAGCCAATCAAACCGCGTGCAAGCTGGGAGAGCCAGACTGCAGTTCATTTCCTCATATTCCAAACGAGAAATTACGGTAGCAAATCACCCGGTTCTTTACGACCAGAACTATTTACCGGGATACAAACCGGAGGTACCAGGCATGGAGGGAGGTGGCAGAGACAGTGGGTGAAACTGGTAGGTTTTCGCCTGTTTGGGGAGTTTATATATATACAGGACTGTCTCAGAAAATT